TGGATAGAAAACTGGCTGGAGCATTGAGCTCAAAGGGTAGTAATCAATGGCTTAATGTCTAGTTGACAGCCAGTATCAAGTGGAGTGCCCCAGGGGTTGGTCCTGGGGCCGGTTTTGTTTAATATCTTCATCAGTGACCTGGAAGATGGCATAGAGTGCACTCACAGCAAATTTGCAGATGACACCAGGCTGGGGGGGAGTAGTAAATATGCTGGAGGGTAGGGCTAAGTTTCAGAGTGATGTAGTCAGATTGGAGGATTAACCCAAAAGAAATCTCATGAGGTTCAACAAGGACAAGTGCAAAGTCCTGCACTTAGGACAGAACAATCCCATGTATCAGTGCAGGCTGACTGGCTGGGCAGCAGCTCTGTAGAAAAGGACCTGGGGATTACAGTGGACAGTAAACTCAATATGAATCAACAGTGTGCCCTTGTTGCCAAGAAGGCTAAGGGCATACTGGCTGCATTGGTAGGAATGTTGCCCACAGGTCAAGATAAGTGATTATTCCTCTCTTCAGTACTGGTGAGGCCACATTTGGACTACTGTGTTCTGTTCTGGGCCCCCCACTACAGAAAGGATTTGGACAAAATGAAGAACTGAAATTCCAACTGTAATTTTCTACAGTTCTATGATTCTCCTTGACTGGAATGATTGAGAACACCACCTGAGCCCCTGTCCCCTTCACTCTTGCACCCAGAGCCCTGTAGTCAACTTTTGATTTGCTCAGGGTCACCACTGGCAGTACCATTGGTGCCCATGTGGATGAGCAACATTGGGTAGTAGTCAGAGGGCCAGATACATCTCTGTAATCCCTCTGTGACATCTCAGGTATGGGCTCTGAGCAAGCAGCGGACCTCCTGAGACAACGGGCGAGGCCAGCAGATAGATGCTTTTATCCCCTGCAGAAGGGTCTCCAACTACCACCACCACCTATTGCTCCCTTGGTAAAAAGTAGCCTTGATCCTCCAAACCTTGTAGAGGCCTGGCCTGGCCTTTTTCACCAATGGAATGTGCTCTTCCTGCTCTGGGGCTAGGGCTCCATATCAGTTCTCCAGGCAAACCACTGCAGGTGGAGATGAAGATTTCTGCTTATTGCCAGAGGTCACAAGCTTCTAACTTTCACCTTCCTGGGAGTCCATGTCCTCTTCCTTCTCTGACACTGCCTGTAACAGTCCTTCCTCTGCAATCCTAGAGGTCTTCTCCAGCATGGAGTCAGTCAAGTCCTTGTGTCAGAGGATGTTTGGAATCCTTGCCACCTCCTCCTGTAGATCTCTTACCTGCTCCCTGACAGACACCACTAGGAGGCACTGTTCACATCGCAGGTATTGCCCCATCTGGGTGGAACTGGAAGGAACCTGGCAAGCTGCAGTCTCCACAGTGCCAAACCAGGACCTGGGTGTAAGCTTTGATGGTGAGTGGACCTCATGAACCGACACCTATCAGGTGCAAGCAGAGGAAGAGCTGGCAGTGGCTCTGGCAGTGCAATGTTCTTCAGCCATTTCTCTGGGTCTTTTAATCTGCTGCCTCTCTTCTTGTTTCTCTTTTGAAGCTGACTTTCCCTAGCAAACTCCCTTATAAACTGGCCTGTTCACTGTTCCTTGGTCCTGAAAGGCTCCCTTTTCACTGCCAACCTGCTTCTTCCTCTCACCAAGCTTACAGTTTAAGGAAGATGGGAGAGAATTTCCAGGCAAACTCTCTAGCAAACTGCCCCTCGCTCTGGACTCTAGTTAAACAAGGGGCTTAAGTACTGGTCTAACTGCTGAGTTTTAGCTATTTAAACTAAATCTATGTGGATTAGCTACTCAATTAAAGCAAAAAAACAACCTTGAAAGGCTCCCTTTCAAAGAGATGGATGGCTAACTTATCTGGGAGCTGACCTGCTAATTGCCCTGTTTGCTGCCTGTTCGCTCAATCTGGATGCTAACATAGAAAGCTTCTTGCATAAATTTGAAGACGACACAAAACAAGGAAGGATTGCAAATATGTTGGAGGACATAAAACCGGTCTGCAGCCAATAGGATGAAGTTCAGTGCTGATAAATGCAAGGGGATACACACTGGGCGCATCTACACAAGACTCTTTACTGTGCAGTAGAGAAAATTACTGCACAGTAAGCGTCACCGTCTACATATGCAGACCCTTACCGCGGAATAATTTGCTCTACTCAGACGTTAATTTGCTACCTTCATTTGGGGAAAAGTTACTGCACAGTAAGGCATGTGTAGACAGCTGACTGGGAGCAAATTTACTCCCAGTCAGCCAAGCAGTAGGGGGTGGGAGATTGGTACCTGCCCACAGGAGCTGCCTGCTGCTGGGGCAGGCTTTGGTGGCAGAGCCCAGGCAAAAACAATATTCCCCTGCCCTGGCAGCAGGGAGCTCCCAGTCCTGGCTCCATGATTGCAGGCAGCTCCCGGGAGCAAGGAGCAATCTCCCAGACCCTACTCCTATCACGGATTGGGGGATGGGAGTTCCCTGCATGGGGAAAGTTCCCTGCCCAGCCTGGAGTTGGGACCAGCACTGGGACCAAGCAGGTAAAGACAATAAAGCAGGTTAAACAGTAAAGAGAACACAAGAAACTATAGGAAATTCTCCACAATGCTCGTTTGTGTAGATTCCTGCCCAGGGTGGGTTTACTCTGGAGTAAACCCATTCAGTAGCAGTTGCACGTGTAGATGCATCTCTTGGAAAGCATAATCACAAATGTGAAATGGGTGACACTTCAGTGGATGACAGCACTATGGAGAAGGATCTGGGAGTCTTGGTAGATCACAGACTCAATATACATCTGCAGTGTAATGTGGCTGCACAAAAGACAAATGCAGTTTTGGGATGCATCAACAGAATCATACGGTGCCACTTGGGAGGTGACAGTGCCTCTACTCGCACTGGCTAGGCCTCATATAGACTATTATGTGCAGGTTTGGGCTCCACATTTTAAAGATGTAGAGAAGTTAGAAAGGGTCCAGAGACAAGCAACAAAGCTGGTAAATAGCTTGGAAAACAAGTCATAGAAGGAGAGCCTGAAGGAGCTACACATTCAGCTTGCAGAAAAGATACTTAAAGAGGGGACATGACAGCAGTCTTCAAATACTCAAAATGCTGCCATAAGGAAGAAAAACACCTTTTCTCTCTTGCTGCAGAGAGCAGAACATGGAACAATGGCTTGAAGTTGCAGCAAAGTAGGTTTAGACTGAACATCAGACAGAACTTCCTCACTGTTTGAACAGTGAGGCAGTAGAATAGACTGCCTAGGGAAGTTGTAGACTTTCCATCATTGGAGGCATTCTAAAAGAGGTTGGGCAGGCATTGGTTTGGGATGATTTAAGTGTAGCTATGCCTGTTCTCCACTATAGGTATTTTCCAGGCTTTGCTGGTTCTTACATGGGACCGGAAGGGAATTTTTCCCTCCCTTCTGCTGCTACATGCATCAGGGATTTTTAATTTTTTTAAAGCCTTCCTCAGAATTGTTGCGTCTTAGCTGCAGCCAAGGTTGGGGATTGATTGGGTTGTGCCAGTGCTCCTGCTGGACTTAAACATGGACAGTCTTGGCTAAAGGGTCTTGCCCCTCTGCTCAGGGCCAGACCAATCATATTTTAGGTCAAGAAGCAATTTTACTCCATGGTCAGATTGGTATAGACTGCAGAGGTTTTTGCCTTCCTCTGTAGTGCAGAGTGTGGCCCTATTCCTGGGATCTCTTGATTGTATGTTAACAACTTTTACAGAAGCAGGACATTGGCTGCCCCCCGCTTTACTTATGCCAGGTTAGGTTGTTATGTCTTATGGTTTTGTCAGGGTTGACTGTGGTTTGGCTAACTGGATAGACAGTGGATTTGTACAGGATGGTTTAGATAGGAATGATCCTGCACCAGGCAAGACGTTGGATTAGATGACCTCTGAAAGTCCCTTCCAGGCCTACTTCTCTATGATGCTAAACAATCTGGGCCTATATATCTAGGGGGATGCTTGCTCCCTTATACTTAAATCACAATCCCTTAGGTCAGCCGAGAGCAGCCTCCAACAATTATCAGCAATGTGTCAAGTACACTTGGTGCAAGTGCATGGGAAGGTACTCTCAACAGGCACTCTTAGAACTTCCTCCTTCTTGAAGCTCACCAGAGCCCAAGCCTGGATATCTTTCAGAAGTACTGAGAAGACACACATTTAGCAAACAAAGCTAGGCTGGGAGATTGTTTAGGGGATTTCTGTTTCATGCTGATATTCTAGTTGTCTTTTAAGTTGTTTTGTTCTCTTGTTCCATTCCATGTTATAAGTTACTCTGCTTCTTTTATTGTAAGCTACCCTTAGCCTTCTTTGGGAGGGGCAGCATACAGATAGAATAAATACATTTAGTAAATTAAAATTTGAAAAATACAACACCACACCACTTGCTATTGAAACTATTTCATTCAGGGTCATTTTTGAGGTAGAATGGCAACACTTGAAGTGCTTCATTGGCATACAGTGTCTGTCCTCTCACATTCTGGAGTGCTAATAAAGGCCCCACATGCCTTTAAGTGTTACATTTGTCTAAGATAAAGTGCTCTTCATGCAATAATTGCCTTGAGAGAAAATGGCAGGAAATCAGCAACATGGTTATTTGTGGCGTCTCAGTTTCCTTAAATCTCACAGGATTTTATGATACTCCACACAAACTGTAAGGAAAACAGTGTTTAAATATACCTAAATAATATAAATATAAAACAGTGATTTAATAATATAAATACAAATCTATAAATAAATATAAATGATAATTTATATAGGCCTCATTTGAAAACTAAATAAGTACTTACATAAGTATGTTTAAATAAGCTAGTTTCCTTTTAAAGTAAGGGTCAGCTGAGTTACTTTAAACAGTGAGGAAATAAATTCTTTCAAATACAACCTCATTACTTTAATTACAGAGCAGACAAATTTCCTTTTCATGACCCAGCATTATTCTCAAGACTAGAATGAGTTTTATATCATGTCTATATTCCAATGATCTCAAGTTGAATGCAACATAATTTAAAATCTATTTTTATTTTTGAATAAGCTTAGCTTGCTCCACAGTTTTAAAAAAAATCTAGTGTCAAGTGGTAATTCATCAATCACTAAAAAAACCAAACAAACAACATATGCTTGTCATAATTAAATGATACCTGAAGACTGACTTTTGGAAAGTTAGTTGATATAGACCAGAGGAATCAAACATACAACCAGATCCAGTCCATGGAGATGGGTGGTTTAGATCATGGGGCTTTTTGCAAAGAAAGGGTTAAATATAAAGTCATGAATGAATCATCATGCAACAGAAAGCTCCAGATATCAAGTCCATATTTTATAGGTAACAGAAGCAAACAGTACCAATTTCTCTCTCATAAAAGTCTTGCACAGCAATTTAGTACATGGTAGTCATCCAGGTGCAGACAAAATTGTCAATTCCAGAAGACTAGTAGTGGAGTGAAGTAAAAAATTATCAAGCAAAAATGCTAGTTCATAATGGTGTTTCTCTGCTTTTCCTAGAGCTGTTAAAATAGGTTCCTCAGTCACACAGAAAATGTCTCCTCTTGAGGCATGCATTTTGGGACATTTGAACATTTCACCTAAATGAATATTTTTTCTGAGCTCTAAAGTGGCAAGGACTGCAACTGTAATACAAAACTGCTGACAGGAAATAATCTGGCTCCAATAGTTTCCTGAGAAAAAAAAAAGGCTACAGAATCCATTTTACTTTGCCTTATAAGCTTCTGAGTGTCTACGAATCAGGTTAAACTTGCCCGTAGGATCAGGAATGTACCACTTCTCCCAAACATCAGAATAGGAAGCTGTTCTTCCCCAGGGTTTGAAATGTCCATTCCAATGGAGCAACTTGGCAGCTTTCACAAACTGTGGAGAATATCTTTTCCCAGCACTAGATCCTTTTTCAAAAAAGAAGCGAGTCAAAACCATATACTTGTGCAGAAAGTTAAAAGCAATATCATCATCTTAGCATGCACAATGTTAATTCAGAGTTAGATATCAAGGGAAATGTTGTTGAGGAAGATGGTAAGAAGTGATACATAGTCCTCACAGATTAGTGCTAGATTGTGAGTTGCAGATTAACACTGTTTTAAACCATTTCTATTGCTCCCATATTTTGAGGCTGCTTTGGCTTCACATTCATGTTAAAGCAGTGTTAGAGCTGTCCATGCATTACCCATCACCAAACAAGCTTTAAAAGGTAAATTCAACCAGTAGCTAAATGAATGGAGAAATCTGCAATTGGAGTTCTGAAATCGGGGAGAACAGAGTGGAAAGCAGGAAAAAGATATTCCTCTTTACCCACATGAAAAAACAGTTTGCTGCATTATCCCCTAACAATTGTCAGTTACGGACTTAGTGAAATGAATGAGGGAGTAAATTAAGCCTTAGCATTGTAATTTCATACTTACCAAGATGTCGGACATTCCACAAAGGGTCAATATTGGAATACTGCTTGTAAAACACAATTAGCAGTGGGGGTGTAGCCACGTTGTCTGCCAGTGTCTTACTGTATAATTCTTCTCTAGAGGGGAAGAATAAACAAAGAATTTTTTAGCTGAAGGTGCTAACGTACACCTAAAATGGTAGATTTTCAAAGCGAGTGTACACTGCATTATGCCTAGAGGTTTACATGTCTAGTAATTTATATTTCCACAATTCAATTTTATCATGATAAGGCAAAGCCCAATAGTTTTCACTCCCTCTCCTGTTGTTTATTCTTACACTACATTAAGTTTCATCCATTTCTCCAACTGGTTAGTGATGTTCTTCAGTTTCCATTCTGTTAAATTTGCAACAAAGACCCCTGGATTGAAAGAGCAGGTGCTAGCTTTCATGGCAAGCTTCCGGATCGTTTCTTTTTTGTAGTCTAGGAATCCAATGTAATTATACTGAAAACAAGAGGAAGATAACTGAAATTAGTTTTTAGTCTTAACTGCACCTAAATGCAAGATTTTGTTTAAAATATACCACCTAACTCCAGTTAAAAAAAATTCAGCATCTTTGCTAGAACATGTAGTGTGTTTACAAAAATCCCTTTCTTGAGCTTCAAGAGCTTGAAGTGTCAAGCTTTCAGAACAATTTTCCAGTTCTTTCAGGAATGCTGAAGGTAAGCGTATGATACAGATCCACAAATAAAAACAGGGTGCACCAATAAAGATTTTCTTGGCCGATACCTACCTGATAACTGATTTACAGGAATGTAGCTGGGCAGTGGAGAGCAGGTCCCTGCACGTAAGTCTGTGGATGGGCAGATCTAGACCCCTCCACAGACTTACCTGCACATTTTATTAAATAATAAAAATAATATTTATTATTATCAGGGAGTGGAGCAGGGGCTGGGGCCGCTGCCCAGCCAGAGTGGTGAATGGGACCCAGGGCTGGGACGGGGAGCAGGACAGAGCCACAGGTGGCTCATCCAGGGGACCAGCATCCCAGCACTTAAAAATGGTGGCAGGGTGCTTGAACTAAAGCTCATCAAATGAGCATAATTTCAAGCATTGCCGCCACCATTTTAAGTGCAGGGACACTTATAACTGAAGCTGAGCTGAGTGGGGTGAGGGTGGATGCAGACTGCTCACTGTAGACTCAGGGCTCTGCGCCATGCTGCCTTTGCCCAAGTGGCCTTGCACTAGCTGCATGCCCTCTGCCCGCAGAAGGTATAACTCACTGTCCTCACTGCTGCTGGGCAGACAGGGTATATGACTGGTGCGGGGCTCCTGAGGCAAAGAGAGCAGAGCAGAGAGCCCCAAGCCCACAGTAATCAGCCCGCATCCGCCCCATGCACAAATCTGGAGGGGTCACGTGCCCTCCCATGCCTCCCTGGGTGTGCGTGTGTGGGGGGGTTGCACACAGCAGCAGGAAGCTGCCCCTTCCATCCCCGCAACACCCCCGTGATGAGCTGTCCATGGCTCCATCCCACTCCTTGCCCTGGTCCCAGGTCTTATTTGCTGCCCTGGCTGGGCAGCACCCTTATCCCCAGCCCCTGCCCCACCTCACCGTGGGTGCCTTGAGCTGCCCCTCCATGCCCCTTACCCTCCACAAACTTACCTGTAGGGAGCTGCTCACCATGCTGCCTGGCCTGTTTTCCTGTGCACATGCACACAGCAGCTGGGGGCCCTGGCCAGAATGCATTTTACACTTAGCAGTGAACATACTGATTAATCAGAACTATTCAGACCTGATTTCCTGCTCCACGGACTGCAAATTTATTAGTAGTTGAGTCACAGTCATCTGAAAATGCAGCTGCATGTCCAGGCTTCAATGGAGTGTTGTAAAGTTCAAAAATATCATCTGAAAATCCAGTAGAGAAAAAAAACACAACACATACCACTTCAGTGATAACTGAACACATTTTTTTGTAGTCATTTACAGAGCTGACACCAGCTTTCAATAATAAGAAATAAAATTCGGGCAGCAAAATATTTAAAGATATATACCCGTCAAATATATTACGCACTGTTTACAAGAAATTTATGATACCTAAAATAATTTCCTTTACCTCCTCCATTTCAAATGCTACCCTAGTTGAAGCACCCTACCCTTCACACAAGGGGGCTGATCTTCAAATGCTAACAGCCTCTTGAAGGAACTGACACATCTACAGTAAGACTAAGATGTAGAAAGACATTTTATAATAGAATAGCTGTTAGGTTACAAGACTGAAGTTGTGAGCAGGTGTGATCACGAGCAGGATAAAGCAACTACATTGTTTCAAACTGGTTGAAACCATTTGTGCTGCATCTCACCTACCACTTTATGATGATCTGTTTAATCCAACCAAGCCCCACCTTTCCTTGCGACACCCCTTATGGAGCAACCTCCCGGATCAGGACCCGTCTGCAGATACCCTTTGGATCAAGAAATGGGAAACACGGGAAGTCACAAATAAGTTCCTTGTGACAAACCCCACTTGTCAACTTGCTGGCTTTGAATTAACACAGAGAGAGTAGTCTCTGTTAAACAGGTTCAGGACTGGCCAAGGCCCCTGCGCAGGCAACCTCCACTGCTGGGGCCTCAGTGCTAACCCATTGTGCTCTTGTGGAGACACAAACAATGTCGCACATTTTTAAATGAAGAGGCAGATTAATAACTTTGAACTCAGTTAACGAGGAGGCTAATCACATTCACTAAATAATAAAAATAATATTTATTTCAAACAGCGAATATTTTTTTTCTTCATTTCACCTTCTGAAAACAAAGTGTGAGCCTTATTTGGAGGTGTGTGGCATGCAAGAAAGTACTAAACTACTGTATAATCCTATGAAATACGAACTTTCATTTTTACCTGGGAGAACTTTTACAATCTTTTCTCCAATGCCTGATGAAGGGTGTGTGCGCCTGAAAGCTTGCAATTCAACAAATTTTTTTGCAAAAATCTTGTTGGTCTAATAAAAGATATCATCTCTACTATGAGTCTTGATTGCTTTTAAACTACTGTTTTATCATGTAGCATAGTATATAAATAGGGCCCTGAGAAAATCGTGATTTTGTGGACTGCACGGATATCACAAAATTCACCCCATACCTTGACTTTTAAACGTGAACATAGGCGGTGGAAGGCTTGGGCTAACGGGATTTAGCCCCACCCTCCACCCCCATGTGCAGGGCAGCAGTGGCTACACAGAGGGCCACAGAGCAGCTCAGTCATGGCCTCTGGGCAGCTGCAGCCAGCGTGGGGAGGAGCACACAGACACAGAGCCTGCATGCAAGCCAGGATTGCAGCCAGACAGCATGTGGAGCACTGCCCACCACAGCAGTAGCCTGGGGTCTGACTATCCTACCACCTGCTCGCTGCATTTGGGCAGAGTTAAGCCCCATTAGCCCCAGCCTTCTGCCATCTATGGTGTGTGCCTGCATGCTGCATGTGTGAGGGTAAAGTATCATTTTTCACGGAATATTCACAGAACTACTGAGACCCCTGTGCCAAGATCAGTAGTAGTTCTCTGAATATTCTGTGAAAAACAATATTTTACCTGCGCATGTGCCGCAAATTTTCAAGAAGAAATCAATGATTTTCTCAGGGCCTTTTATATAAATCATGTAACTCTAAAAGTTCAATTGCATGATTTTTTTTTTTACTTCTGAAGTTTAAAAATTTATATTTAATCAGATAAGAATATAGTGAAACCTATTTAAGAACCTATAAAAAGCTGGAAACCTACTCATGTCAGAAAATACTTACAATTCCTGCATGACTTACGGGGAATTACATATACTTAGTTTGTATAAGTCAGCAACTAACAAGCAAATTGAAAGGAAATTTGGGGCCCACTGGTAGAGTCACCTTGTATATCCTGGAAAGTAATGACGAAGTATGTGTGTACATGCAGGCACGCATGGCAGTCTGTGTGTGTAGGGGGTGAGTACTAAGCAGAGCAGCATTAAACAGAGCAAGTAGCTCCCCTGATAAGACAGAAACATCTTTAAGCCAAAGCTTCTTCCCAGTCCCATGCATTTCCATCTTAAACAGGTTATACTGTATTTAAACATCCAGGGCAGGATTCTATTTCCATTTGCATGCCTGAATGACAGTCTTTCCAGTCTCTGATTTTGGCATTTATGCACATTTTGCAATTCTACACTGTTGCAAACCTTGGCCATTTTCAAGGAATCTAGGCTAAGCTGTAGAAGTATGGCTAAGCAGAAGGCCCCAAAACCTGTTTCTGAGTGATTGTAGATTGAATCATTCCAGGCCTGACAATCCAGCTTGGTCAGCAAAGTAAAGGAAGGAAACAACACGTCCAGCTACACCGGTAATGAAATCAAATTAAACAGAGCACAAGGCTTTAAATTAGATGATTCAAATAAAGTATATCATAGCTTTATCTTATTGAAATGGATTAGTGTAACCAAATGTACTAGATGCTGTTTTGCTGTAACAAATATTTTTGTTAAGATTTCTTTAAGTTATAAAAACAAAGTAGCCTAAACTGTAAACTAAGGTGAAAAAGAAACAGCATTCCAGAATAGCAAAGAGAAGGAGATAAGGAATCCTTCTTCTCTGAAAATGTAACTTTCACAGAAACACAAATCCCAACTAATTGATACTTTCCAAGCACAGACGATTGGAGGGGGGGGGCA